TCCATGGAAGTAAAAAAAGTGTTTTCCCGAGAAATTTTGGTGTAGTCGATTTTTGGTAAAAAAGGAAGGTTATACACTGCCTTTTTTTGAGGCTCGAAAAAAAACATTGTCTCAGATCGACTCGGAAAAAAAAATTCTTATAGAATGTGGCCTGTAGAATCCATAATTTCAAACAGTTCCAAGATTGGGCTACTAGTTCAAAAGTTACAGCCCTTTGAATTTTCTTTTGAAATTGGTTTCTAGTCTATAACTTTTGATTGAGAAGTCTGATCGAAAAAGTACGAATTGTTTTGGATTCTACGCACCAAAATTATAAGAAAAAGTGTTTTCCCGAGAAATTTTGGTGTAGTCGATTTTTGGTAAAAAAGGAAGGTTATACACTGCCTTTTTTTGAGCCCCGAAAAAAAAATTGTCTCAGATCGACCCGGGAAAAAAATTTTCTTATAGAATGTGGCCTGTAGAATCCATAATTTCAAACAGTTCCAAGATTGGGCTACTAGTTCAAAAGTTACAGCCCTTTGAATTTTCTTTCGAAATTGGTTTCTACTCTATAACTTTGATTGAGAAGTCTGATTGAAGAAGTACAAATTGTTTTGGATTCTACGCACCAAAATTAATAAGAAAAAGTGTTTTCCCGAGAAATTTTGGAGTAGTCGATTTTTGGTAAAAAAGGAAGGTTAAGTATTCAAATACTATGCGAAGTATTCGAATACTTCTCAAAGTATTCAAATACCTTGCGAAGTATTGGAATACTTTACGAAGTATCCAAATACTTTGCGAAGTATTCGAATACTAAATATTTGCGAAAGTAGTTGAGTTACAAATACAAATACTGCTTCCATAAAAGTATTTAATTACAAAGTATTTGAATACTTTAAATGATTTGAATACTAAAAAGTATTTACAAAATCGAATACTGCCCAGCTCTGCAAATCAGTACACACATCAAACAATTCGATAATTTCTACAAATTGACAAAAATTTAAATTTAACTTGGGGCCAAGACCATGTAATCAAAACGTAACCATAAATTGAGCAAACCTTTACACCAAGAATGAAAACGGTATTTTTTATACATGTGACGCAGCATTGAGATTACTTAAATCATGTCAATTTCAAAGCTCTCTACGATAGCTCAAACCAAGATGGCTGTGCGTAACCAGCATTCGTGCTCTCCACACGGCGGTGCAAGACTGCTTTCCCCTAATAACCGCGCGGTTGCCGGCTCTTATAAAAGTGTGCATCATAGTACTTGATATATACAGGGTGGAACTCAACCCTTTGAAATAAACAGTTCCTATAGACAAACTTACTCACCATATTTTTAACGTGTGAATGGCGTGGATTTCTCGTATTACGATCGCACGCCCACGCTCTTTGTAAATATAGAACCCTCAAGTTGCTTATTACACCCCCATTTACTAATTAACCACGACGCGAATACATTTGACTTCTGTTGCGGCGCACTCTTCGATTACCAATTACACAGTTATTTTTCACCGCGTCAATTTAAAATAACAAACGCGCCCTAGGCACCCCTTGCGAATGAAAAAGCTCGAGTGGGTGGTGTTATCTTAATCTTATTGAATCAAATTACTCTTTCCCAGGGTTACTCTAACATAGAAAGGAGAAAAACAATCCAATTTTCATACCTACCTACACTGTCGGAAGGGGATGAATCTAATTAATCATTAAACTTGTTGGACAGCAATTGGTCGCGGGTATGTATTTTATAGTTAATGTGTGACCCGAATTCCGACGTCGTCGTCGGCGTCAGTTTGTTTGCTGTAATAAACGAGATTCATTTCGTGTGATGCGTGTGAAATTGTAATTTAATTAGGCGTAACTAATTAAGTGAGGTACAGAGAGAAAAAAGCCAATTTGAAAAGAAGAATCGCGAACGGGTGCGGGAAACATACTCTAAATTACATTTCGGGTCAGAAGTTCAGGGCTGAAGTTGGATTATGAATTTAGCTCCCGGAACGCAATCTCGATTTTCAGCCCTGACAAAGGTGCTTCGTGAATTTTTTATCTGTAATAGACGCTATTTGTCGACGTGTTTAATTTGGAGAAAGCTTAAAATGAATTATGTTTGTGAGAATTGTTAAAATGTGGTTGTCAAATGACATAAAAATTTAGCCAATTTGCGTCTTTACTTTCTACTCACGGATTCTGTATATGGCGAAATTACGAGGAACTTGGGACACTTGCTAATTCTGAGTTCATATAATTCTGCATTAAGATTAATCACTTAGTCCGTTTTCGCATACTTCCTATGCATGTACTTCAGACAAAATTAACTACAGTATGTGCCACCAATCTTATCTTCAGGAAAGAAATTTGCCAGAAACCTGTAGGTCAACAGCTTGCGTAATGACCTGATAACGAAACGAATCTAACTCTTGATAGCGGTTCACGTACATCCCATTAGTTTTGTCTCATGACGCGACAAGCTTTCATACGCAAATACGTAATCCGAGACCATAGGCCCAAAAATTTACGAAAATTATAATTCCTTCGTGGTCTCCCGTTACACTACATACTGTAACGTAAATTTAATTACGTGGTTTTATTTGTTACAACTAATTAACAATAAATTTGTAAGTCTTGAAATAAATTAATTTATAACAGTGATTACAATTTATCACTCACAATTTTACCATACTCAACTGCATCGATAGAATTGAACTGAAATACGCTACAATTTGCTTATATAGTAAACGACAATATTGTTCGGACTCATCATTCATGGCGCCTCGATGTCTATCGAGATTGCTGGAATGTTCGCTATAATACTGTACGAAAGATTGTCTCGCGTGGCGTAATATTTGCACTAGGTGAACGTGAAGGCGGCGACGGATTATGTCATGTACAGTTGAACTCACGAGAGGTGAGCCCTGCGCCACTAGTTTGTGAACCAATTTCCAACGAGTGCTTTAATATTTATCAGATGTCAACACATGAGCGAGAACGAGATGGTAACCATTTGAAATACTTGGAATACGTGGAACGGTACGGAATCTCGAGCGCCACCAGCAGTTTGTTGATCCTTGCGCCAAGTTTAGACGGTAGGTTACTGTGTCCGAAATTCGGAAAACACGGGCAAATCAGCTGGAGACCAACGGTCAATTCCTGAATTCGGAAAGTGGACCACAGGCCATGAAACTAAAACAAAATTGCGATACACGGAAAAGGCAGTAATTTTCATAAGGGGGGACCGACGCACAAATCATTAACGCTATCTACTGGGAAAAAAGATGCAGGAAAGCAAAGCCAAAAGCCCCTTTATAGTTAATTGACAGAAAGAAACGTATCGAACGTCTAATCTCTAAACGACGTACTTTGCTGATAACGTTCAACAATTAAAACTTCTTTAACTAATTACTCGATCCCGTTATCAAAAAATCTGGGACCATTCTTAAAATGCATGCTAATTAAGCGCGCTTCATTTGACACCAAACACACGTAACCAGACGAGGTTTGTTGCAACATATGTATAATTAGCTACTGATAATTATGCTTACTCAAATGGCGGGGCTGAAATTTCCAAATTCGGTAGTCTAGTTAACTCCAATTGTTACTTGGAATATTCAGGACAATCGCAAAGGTCCGCGTTACTTTATACTCGTTTTAAATGTCCGTGAACTAGAAACTAGTAACTGAAATGCCATTGAGCGTAAACAACTGTTGCAAGGGCGCCGTAACGAGAGAGATGAGTAGAGGTATCTATACCTTAGCATGTTTCACTCACGTGGCGTTTAGGAGTTTTCCGTACCAAACAAGGATGATTATACAAACGACGTGGATGAGGATACCTACCATAGACTACGTAAGACGACACGCGATTTTGGTCCAGTTACAGAGTATACAGTTCAATGGATGTAATGTACTTACTTAACCCTAGGTTCAACGCTAACTTCATACTACAAAAAATAAAATCAACCAGGCAACGTTTAAAAATGACCACCGGAATCAGTATTCCCTCCAAAAGCTAAAGAGAGCCCGCCTAAATATGAAATCGAAAAGTGGCATGCGATCAAACATCAAAGGCTGCCTGTTAATTGTAACGCTACCTAAAGTACGGTAGGGAAGGAACGCAAAATAAGACACTTTAAAAGTCAATAATCTCGAATGCGTAATGTGAAAACGTCAAAATGTAAGACATAATAAATATAAATCACTTATATACATGAGAGCAAATACAGTTTAAAAGTTAGTTGTAAAATAATGGTTGGGTTGGGTAGGTAACAAAAAAAAGGTAGCTAGACAACAGCTAACTCATCTTTGACGCAATAAAACTTTTTTGTTAAAGGCAACATGGAAAATTACACGGTCTTGGAGGGAAATTAATGTTTAACAACAGAATATGTGGAAATACCAAATGTGATTGAGATCAGAATTATCGCCTGCACGAAGGTGTGTCATCTTGTGCTACTTGGACAAAGCCATTAATTCCAATCTATGGTTAAGAAATAAATTTTGGAACCGAAACATTTGATTTATTAGGAAACATGTTTTTTGGACCCACATAGCACCTACACGGTGAAAAGAAATCCGAAGACCATATTCTGTTGATATCTCCCGTAAAAACACTCAATTGTATGGAGTGTTAGGCCCCTTTCAGAAAATTCCTAATTAATGAATAGAAGATGGTAGTAGTAGCCTTTAATTGTTAGTTTTGAATACTAAATGTTAACTCACTCTTCTTGTTTACCTGTCGCATCTGCCTTTTCATTGGTTCATTTTAAATGCGATCTATTAAAATTTACTATGCACATTTTATTGCCGTTAATTACTAGGCACCTAAACCAAATTTAAGGTTTTTTTTCTTCTTAAGAATAAACAATAAATTTCATCTTAACCTTCAAACTTATACATGCTTACCGCAGTGAACCACGAAAAATTAATGTCGGTAGCGGACATCAATTGCGCTGTACTAGTTGAAAATGTTTCATTTGCCCTTGTGTCGATGGTGCTTTAAGTTTGATTATTTTTTTCAGGTTGCTGGGGGCACGTTATGCCGGCTTTGCGATTGTTCGGAAGAAAATGGTTGGTCGCGTCTGATGATCTAGTCTTTCCGGGATTATTCGAATTAGCAGTTAGGACAATATGGTAAGTTCCGATTATTAATGATTAGCGATGTTAATCGGTACAAAATATAATGTGACGTAGGTACTTTTTTTTTACAAAATTTTTTGATTGTAAAAAAACTTGAATTAATTAATTTCTCAATGTATAAATTAACTTAATTCCTGAACCTTGGACTGCATTTGAACAGGTGTGTATAATTTTTAAACAGTGGATGTACGCGGCATTTATTCATTGTGCACCGCAACTAATCCATTTAAGTCTCAAAAGGTACCTAATATGCATAAACATTTTCTCGAAGGAACCATAAAATGAATGTGGCTTGTGCAAAGGTTAATGAGACTTATATAACGCAAAACAGTAAATTTGAGAACCGTATACTAAGAGTGAGCTATTACGTTAAACTGTTACCGACTTGAAAGCACATATCGATCGTGTATCGATCAATCTAGAATGCTGAAAGAAAAGTGAACAATTACTACAGATTACTCAGATCTGGTTAATCGTTGGATCGAATTCATGCAAAAATTAAGACCACACTTGCCTCGGTTTATATCCTTAGCAGTACAATTTCAGGCTCGATTGCTCTAAATCAATTAGCTCGTTTCGATTTTGCATATAAAACGTGGTCCCAATATTTGGCAGGATTTTGTATGTGAATGAGTTGTTCCTGAATACGGTCCTAACTGTTAAAATGCGTGCGAAAGTTGGTGGCACCGAGAAGTCGTGGTAAATGACAAGATTAACTAATGTGGCTGTAGCGGAGTAAAGATCGAACTGGTAGTGTAAATTGGTAACTAGGCGACGTTATACATAAGCAGTAATTTTGTAACTTAAAATAAAATCGTTCTTACTAATTTATTTAGAGTAGCGATTGACATTATCGGTGTAGTTCTGCGTTCGAATTGTTGTTATTTTTTTAATTTGTGCGTCGTACAACTCGTGGAGAAAGAACTTGAGAGACTGTACCCCTTCTCCGTTGCTCCGCCATTTCCGCTCTCTGGTCGGCAGCGGCACCGTTCAAGACGGCCTTTTTCGCACCATTTGGATGCAAAGCCTTCCTGCACATGTTCACTCCATACTGCAACCTCAAATGAATCAAACCGGGGTCAAAATTGACGTAAAAATACTGATCAAATAACAAAAACCCAGATATAGCTGAATTTTGGTAGAGACCTTGGGTACAGCAGTAGAAATAAAGTGCCAAAAGTCTCCATAGATACCATGTATACTAAAAAAGTTATTCAAGGCGGTTTTTTGGATTTTTCTCGACAACTGTAAGTGTTATCAAACATATAGCCTAGACAAAAATTGTAGATCATAAAATTATCTACAAAAATAGTTCTTATACTTTTTCGCCTAAGAACCACCATTCCTAAGATATCACCGTTCTAAGGGTTGAAGGATTACATTCCACATGATATGCAAACAAATGCCACGTGTACAGGCTGTTTCACGCAAACCGTTACCTAAAAGACTTCCATTAATAATTTAAATGTGAAAATTTGCATACCAACATAGTTTTTCATGATCTATCGAAAGAAAATATTATCATGATCGTTTCTAATTTTAAATAGAACACCTTATATTTTATTCCTTTTTCGAAATCTACATGAAAATCTACGTCGCGTCATTTGATACCACATTTCCGTATACCTAGCATCAAAAGTTTTCAAGTTATTCAAGATTTTTCAAAATTTTTGAAGATTGACTGCTTTAATTCAGCGCCCTGTACTTATGACTCCGTTGACTTGAATTTCAAAGAGTCTTCCAAATTCAACAATACTGAAGAGATGCTGCATGCGAATGATTTAAATTTTGATCGTCCTTCTACAGGGTGTTGTAAAATTAATGGTCAAGTTTCGAACATTAAAAAGTTGATTTTTTCAAATGAAACCTGCTTTATTTTTTTTCACTTTCAAATGTAGAACAAAATTCGATTGTTGAAGTCGAATTTGAAGAGTGCGAATCAGATCAAAATATTAACAGAATTCAGAACTACAGTTTAAATCAGTTATATATCAATTTCAAAATCAATTATCATCATGCCGTGAGTACAGTATTTTCCAATAAAAATCCGTCACAAAAGATCGTGGAGTAGGCCTACCGGGGAAACCACGTTAAAAAAACGCGCCAAGTATACTACCTCGCCGGCGGTGTAGAAATGTGTAGAATGTAACTCCTTCATCGGGCAATACCTTAGGAATGGTGATTCTTAAAGAAAAAAGTATGAGGATCATTTCTGTAGAAAAATCCAAAAAACCGAAAATTTTGACCTTGAATAATTTCTTTAGGACACATGGGATCTATGGAGGCTTTTGGCACTTTATTTCTACTGGTGTACCCAAGGACTCTACAAAAATTCAGCTCTGTCGGAGTTTTTGTTATTTGAAATATCTATTCTGCAACAAATTAGCTTCGTGCTGCCAACAACTCCAGCACGATCCATAGATACGGAATGCTTTCTCTCAACCTCGATCTAGGACTTCGATGTGATTTTATTTGGAATTTCGTCGCCCCCGACGCCAGCATTCCTATGATCGGATCGGATTTCCGGCTCCGAACTCCTACCAGATGAAGTTAAACAGATAAATAGACTCAAAACCGTTCCCATGTAATTTATAATTGAGTGTAAAAGGGGAGGGGGCACTACATGTTTCGATTTACGTCATCATCAGGTGTAATCTACAAGATGGAATTAACGATTTGAGGAGAGTATATATAAATTACCTTACAATATCGTGGCGTGAACGAACTTTATTGTAAGGATATTGTAAGGTAATTTATTTTTTGGAGAGGCATTCGCTCTTGGGCTACGAGATCGTTTAGTGCGTGGTTTAAGAAATTAGGTTTGTTTCAAGCACAAAAAAGGAGATTTTTGGGATTGGGAAATCCATGCGGAACTTCTCCTCCTTGCGGCACACCGCCCTTATAATATTCTGCGTTGCTAAGCCGACCCCTACTTTCACTTCAAGTTCTTCTCGTGGCTCCACCTCATTCAGTGGAAGAATAGATGCTCCTTGTCGTCTTTCATTCGACAGTCGAGACAGAGGTCATCCCCTCTATGCCCTATCTTGTGAATATAACTACCCAGCTCACCGTGTTCTGGCCGAATAATCAGCTGTCTGCCCTTCATCCAGTCCGCTATTTCTTTGACAGCACGTAAATTCGATTCGAAAATTTCGTTTCAAACAAAGGATGCACAGCCGGCCCGTGTAGCGCCGTTTAGTTAAAGCTGAACTGTGGTGCCAAAGGTCCCTGGTTCGAATCCGGGTTCGGGCATGGATATTTGTAAATATGTAGTGGGTTGGATTGGTAGAGCAGCCTTGGCGGAAGCCCCGCTCACTCAAAAAAGGCAACAAAATTTTAAAAAAACGCCTTTAATTTGCATAACGACGCGCAACCGTATGGGGCAAAGAAAGGTGCCGTTGCAGAGCCCCCTATTTTTGGCGGTTACGCTTTAACAACTTTACGAAGAGTACGCTGGAACCCACAATTCTTTTTGCCATATAACCATAATTTTGTATGTCCAAATGGAAAAACGCAAATCCGGCTATTGCAAAGGCACTTTGCGAACGCTGTCAGCAGGGAAAATAAAACAGCTATAGAATAATGAAACGCATATTTAAATGAATAAATCACTTGCTCTAAAAAGAGTAAATTTGGCGAAAGTTGATGTCATTCGCGATGTACCAGTAGGTAATTATACGTAATGTGATTCTAGAAAGTCGAGGACAAGCAAAATAATAACTTGATCCGGTTGGAAGAACCAACTGCCCTTTAATTTTACGTTGCAAAATTCGTGGAAAACTGCAGCCTTGCACTTTCAGGTTATCTAAATGTAGCGACACACGTTACATTGTAATTAAATTACCGCGTTATTTAATTACTTTATTAAAACCGCCGTGTTATCGTGATTATCCGCAGACCTGGGAACCGATATTAACGCAAATTAGGTAATTAACAGAACGATAGCATTGTTCAGTTTATCATCTAATAACGCTAATGAAACGTTCATTTTTCTCTACGTCTCGTGTAATTGGCCAATTGAACTAAATTGTAAAGAACGGTTAGCGAATAAATGCATCGGTGTAATGAACGCATTCTTTATGGCACATTCAAAATTTTATGGTCACTAAAGCTCGTATCGTTTATATTTATTTATTAATCTTTAATGATCTCGCGTTACGGAAATTAGAAACCATTTCCTCATAATTAGTCTAATTGGAGTAATTTTAAGTAAGTTTAATGAAAGGTCTGTGTAGGCAATAGGGGTCGCTTTCCACTTTCTTATAATTGAAGCATTAATGTTGCTTGAGCGCGCATATTCTTCATGTACCTACACTCATACAACCTGTTGCACAAGTCGGTGGTACAGGTGGAATTATGCATCTTCCCTATGATACTTATGAGTTTATGACACAGTGCCATTTGTTGGAGCACCAGAAGATTAGTCCGCCCGTCTGTTCGTGTAAAGACTAGCTTTCTGTATTATTTGTATTTTCGTAGGAAAATTAAATAAAAATATAAAATGAGGGGCAACATGAAAGAGTGTGACACAGACACATACGAAAAAAAATGTGACTTGACATTACTTTTTTACTGCAAGTGTTACATTTTACTCAAAAAACGAAAAAAAATTGTTACCAGTTGAATAAGATCAAAATCAAATCAATGGTACCTTAAAGCAGAGCAATATATAATGAAAGCTTGATCTCCGGAAGGAATACTGCTGCAGTTTTCTGTACTAGATGGTTACCTCTTTTTGCGCAATTGATCGAGCATTGAACGGCCTACTTTTATCGCCTGCTTACAACCAAATTCACGCCCTCGCAATATAATCAATTTTTTTTTGCACCTATTCCCCGCAAAAGTGCGCTCGTACTTTTATAACTCTTCGATAGTTCTAAACACGGAATCAATCGAACGATGGTTTTCCCAAAAAAGTTTATTTTTACTGAATTTCCACGATAATCCTTTCTGAATGGGTTTACAATTTGCACCGACAAATTTAAGCGGGACTT